ATTTATATTTATATTTATATTTATATTTTATTTATTATATTTATTTATATATATTTATATTATATTTATTTTATTTATATTATATTTTATTTATATTTATATTTATATTTATATTTTATATTTATTTATTTATATTATATTTATATTTATATATTTATATTTATATTTATATTTATATTTATTTTATTTATATTTAATTTATATTTATATTTATATTTATTTATATTTATATTTATTTATATTTATATTTATATTTATATTTAATTTATATTTATATTTATATTTATATTTATATTTATATTTATATTTATATTTATATATTTATTTTTATATTTATATTTATATTTATATTATTTATATTTTTATATTATATTTATATTTATATTTATATTTATATTTAATATTATATTTATATTTATATTTATATTTATTTATATTTATATTTATATTTATATTTATATTTATATTTATATTTATATTTTATTTATATTTATATTTATATTTATATTTATATTTATATTTATATTTATATTTATATATATATATATATAATTTACGAAATATAATCACGACAAGCCAACGTTTGTCGTCTTTTTTAATGACGTGTGCTTCAATGACACACAATGTAAGTCATACATGCGTGTCATAAATTTATGACACACAAATGTATGTCAAGCAGATTTATGACGGGGGCTTCAATGACGCGCAATGTAAGTCATGCATGTGTGTCATAAATTTATGACGCACAAATGTGTGTCATCTTAATTTATGACGAATGACACTCAATGAACGTCATTAATGTGCGTCATAAATGTGTGTCATAAATGCGTGTCATATATTTATGACACACAGTTGCGTGTCATCTGAAATTCATGTCGGTGGCTTCAACGACAATCAAATGTGTGTCATCCGCACCCATAGATGACGCGCAATGCGCGTCATTAAGGGGGTTTTTTCTACTAGTGCATTTTGATCTCTAAACTTTCAAAAGATATAGAATGGCCATTAAATTTTATTAAACTATTGCAAATAATCATTATATTTTATCAGACTGTTATAAAATGATTGTTGAATTTTATCAGATTTATCAAAATTTTACAATTATTATGATATTAGATTGACCATTTTCTAATAGTTCGATAAATTTAATGACTATTTTATAATTTTTTAAAGTTCAATGATTAAATAATCATTTAAGTACGATTTAGTGATCTTTGATGTATACTTTAGTACCCACATTGATTTGCTTTGTCTTTTGTTTCCTTGCTGGGCTGCCCTAATCTTACCTCTTGTACCAAAAGTTGTGCACTTTTCATTGTCATTTTACCATTTTTTCTTCAAGAAAGCAAAATCAAATCTATTTATTATATAATTTGCACTTTATTTCTTACGTTTTGTGTGGTCTTTGGGGCCTACCTCATTCAAATCCCAACCTTAATCTTTCATTTTTTTGGTTATAAATGATTAATTTAACCTCAAATGTGTAATCTCTTAACTCTCATAACACTGTGTGTTCTATATTAGGTTCTTTTTCTAACAAATTGGTATTTAAGTTTTGGCTTAAGGGTTCCTACAGCTCTCAAACTTTTTAAAAAATAATTAAGCCTCTAAACTTTTTATTACACCCAATTGAATTCTCAAACCAAAAAATTAAATCAATTAGGTCCTCAAATCGATAAATTGAATCAATTATGCCATTTGATCAATTTTCTCCGTTAAATCTCAACATTCTTTTCTAAAATATTACTATCACATGACACACTTTAATTCTGCTACGTGAAAATTAAAGTTTATATATATATATAAATTAGAATTTTAAAGCATTCTAATTTTTTTTAAATGACTTAATTCCCAAATAAGTGCCAAAACTGTGCCTTTTGTGCTGAATAGGTGTCTACAATATTTTTTGGTTCATCTAAGTGTCTAAGTTTACAAAAGTTAGTCATTTAGTTGCCCGAGACGTAATGACCATTAAATAAAAAACGTTATTCATTCATTTTCTGACAGGTGTCCTGATTATAATTTCTTTTCCATTTTTCTATAAAATTTGAATATATAAAAATAAAAATAAAAAAATATTAATATTAACATTTTAATCATAAAATTTTAGCCTAAAAGTAAAAAACCTAAAATTTACCACGATCCTTCTTCTGCTTCTCCTTCTCTTCCTTACCCATTATGCTGAAACTCTCTTCCTCTCTCATTCTCTTCTGAAATGTCCTCCTTCCCCGTTCTTCCTGAAACTCTCCTCCTCCCCTTTCAGTCACATCCTCATCTGTTTTTCCTGAAACGCTTCTCCATGGAATGTCATGTTTGTTATGGTTGATTTGAATGATATGTGTCAATGGATTTGAATGGTATGTGACAATGTGTTAATGGAAGATTGTCCAAAAAATGTGTTAGATAATGGGATATAATTTGTATGTTGTCCACAAATGTGTTAGCAAATGCAAGCACCTTATTTGTATCATCCTCTACCCCCAAATCTGGGTTGCAACCTAAAAATCTGGTTTCCAACTTAAATTCTGGGTTGCAACCTAAAATCTGACTTCCAACCTAAACAATTTAGGCACCTAATCGATGCCAAAAATATAATCTAGGCATCTAATTTGACCCAATAAATAACAATAGGCACTTGATTTAAAATAAATAATGTCTTAAAACAACTTGTACAATAAACAACATTTTCTTTATACTAAGGTTAAAATAGCAGATGATGATGAGAGTGAAAGGGGAGGAGAATCGTTTCAGGAAAAACAGATGAGGATGTGACTGAAAGGGAGGAGAAGAGTTTTAGGAAGAACGGGAAAGGAGGAGGTTTCAAAAGAGAATGAGAGAGGAAGAGAGTTTCAACAGAATAGGTGAGGAAGAAAATGGGAAGGACTGTGGTAAATTTTAGGTTCAAGTATTAATGTTTTATTTATAAAAAATGGAATAAAAATTATAATCACGGACACGTGTCAAAAAATGAATAGATAACGGTTTTTATTTAACGTTCGTTACGTCTCGAACACCTAAAGGGCTAAAGTTTGTAATGTTAGACATTTGGATGGACAAAAAAATATTGTATGCACCTATTCAACACAAAAAGTATAGTTTGAATTCAAAATTAATAAATTCCTCAAAATATCAAGTGATAGCAACGTAACATACATGTTACACCAATTGATTGAAATAAAATCTCTAAATTTAATGGCCAACATCAGTCAATAGGTAAACTTTCAAAATATACGAACTTCACGAGGCAAAATATATTTGGAAAATTAATTAATTTATTAAAATTTCAAGGACTTGTGACAACTTAAACCTTAAGTTTCTCTCAAAATTATTAATTCTACCTAAATTTCTTTTCCATGAAAATATTTTCGTTAATCAACAACAATCAACGATAAACCACTCAATAATTGACACATGACAACGCGTACATGACTTTTGTGCCACATTTACCCGTTTTCGACACATGAATATTCGAATTATACAAGTTCGAGTAAATTAGTTTACATGCCAAAAGGTCCACACAATCCATTTTCCATGCATAACGCATCATCTCCATTTAGGAAAAAAAAATTATACAGCAATAGTTTTAACCTTATGGAAGATACACTAATGAAAGAAGAATCAAATACGGAAAGAAGGTTCAACGTTCTTATTAAGGAGAGACTCAATTTCTTCTACAAAAGGGAAAAAGAGCATCCACCAAACCTATGATCATTGATATTTATGTGCCAACCCTGCACTTAGTCACCAAACCTATGATCATTGATATTTATGTGCCAACCCTGCACTTAGTGCCCATCCATAACTAATTTCATCGTAACCGATAAGGTTTTCCGACTAGCACTAGGGATAAAATCAATAAGCGAATACTACAGCGGTACTCAGGCATCTTATTCTGCTCGGGATTGGCCGGCTCGAGAAGACAAGATGATGCCGACGATAAGGCCATAAAGAGCCAAAGCTTCGGCAAAGATGAGAATAAGGATCATTCCGACAAAGAGTTTTGGTTGCTGCGCATTAGCTCTACAACACACAATCATTCAAAAGTTCAAAATATTTTCCATGACAGTGAGGTTAACAATATATATCACTTTATTTAAATAAGCCCTCATACTTTTTATATTCCTTAATAACGTCTTAAGCTTTTAACTTGTGTTCAAGTTACTACTTAACCATTGATCATATAAGAAAAACTAATTCATTAGTGTGCCTATAATCCCGCCTCGTATCAATGCAATAGGCAGCATAGATTTCAAACCTATTCGAATCAAATAAGGAGAGGATTCACTAAGCTAATATACTCCAAAAATTCACAAAGCAGCCTCAAAAATTACAGAAAAGCTTCAACATTTTCACACAACTACATCAGGACCCACCGTAAAAATCGCAAAATTTTAAAACTTTTGTCAAAACATGTAACTCATAAAATGATTTATTATTATTCAGAAACAAAACAGGATTTTCATACTCAGATATAAAACAAAATACAGTCTACATGCCCCCTAATCACATGTACCATCCTCTGAAAGAAACGTCGGAAGAACTCCCTTATTGATATCGATAGCTGCACTGGTACAATTCTTTTATCCTGCAATAGTGAGTAATAGAGTGAGCTTCGGAAAGCTCAGTAATACAGAACTACCAGATGATGCTACATGACATGCAGATAAATGGAAAGCCATATAATTTCCTTATTGAATCAAACGTATACCCGTTGAGGAATAATCTTGGGTTCTATCAGTAGTTCATCAAGTTGAAGCCATGAAAATCACAATTCATAGGAAGCATTCAAAGTATGACATTTTCAGGAGATCGAATAGGATGTATAGTGTGTTCCAATCAAAACTAGTGAAAAGATATAAATCTTTTAAAACCATAGTTGAACCCCCAACCAAACTCCATTATGCAGTTCCCCAGAACTACATCCATAGGGCTTGCCCTCATCAAACAACAAAAAGGGGAGCCAACCTAAGAATATACATTAGATCTACCCAAGGACATCCTTAGATCCGTAGAGTTACCTTAAGCACACAGCTAAGGGAACCAACCTAAGGATATGCCTTGGGGCCTACCCAATATATCCTTAGGTACGTAGGGTTACCTTATGCACACAGCAAAAGGAAACCAACCTAAGGATATGCCTTGGGGCCTACCCAAGATATCCTTAGGTCTGTAAGGTTACCTTATGCACACAGCAAAGGAAACGAACCTAAGGATATGCCTTGGGGCCTACCCAAGATATCCTTAGGTTCGTAACGACTTATAGCCAAATCAGGGTTGTGCCTCTATACTCCAGATTCCTATCCATATAAAAATCCAGTATAAATCAGTTTTATCTGTAAATCGTAATACCTGGATCGTGATCCAGTAATATGTCATATCCGTGATCATGAAATAAATCGTATATCAAATTTCCACATGTACATCATAAGTAGTCAAATGATTAACCCAAGGGAGTACCTTGGGCCTGAAAGCCTACCCAAAGATCCCCTTAGGTCCGTAAGAAATTTTCAGCTTGATCAGAGTTATACCTCCAGTCTACTCATATAATATCCCAGTAAAATATTTTGAGTATAACCAGTGAAACATAAAACCATAATTCATAAACCAGTAGTTTCTGTGATTCCATAAATCATAAACAATTTATATTTTCGATAAAACCATAATCACAAATCACTTACCATGTTGCCATGGTTCATAAACCAGTAAATCAATACTTGTACTAAACTCATTTCAAAACATATAAAACCGTCATGTAATTAATTTGGAACACACTAGAGTATCCACGTATATTTTTTTCAGAGGCATTTATCGTTATCAATAAGGACAACATGAAACTCGAGCAATTTGATCGGATTCCAGGAACAAGGTTCTATTGAGGAGAATCGACTACTAACCGATCTAGCCAGACATTTAAGGTTGATACTTTAGAATCTCATTATATTTTCGGGTGCATCAGGAAAGTGTTCTAGAATGCCCAGAGTGATTTGAGCTAATAAAGGAGAAACGAAGCTTCAAGAAATTTACAATCCATGTTAATCGATTGGTTTATCGAACAATTCGAACTGAACATTCTCTTAGAACTAATGCATGTCGACCCATCAATTTACTGCCTTTTTAGGGTATTTACTCTTTAATACCAACAATTCTTGTCCATAAATCATCTTCGTAATCATTGCTGAATTGATCTTCCAATAGTCTTTATTTCATTTTCATATTTCAACGATATCAATAAATACATACGTACTTGATTCATGTTTTATAACCCATAAGGATAATTCAACATGTAAGTTTAACAGTGTTCCCAAACTCATCCAATCACCTATTTAATCTTCACTCGTTGAGGTTACTCATTTCGTTTATCAGTCAAGTTTATCCCGGTTACTTCAGAGCTTTCCAGATAATCCAGACGTTTCTGAATTTCAGATGCATATTGTACTTTCGTTTAATTTAATTTGGTCTTCGTGGTTTATTTGTCTAACAAATATCCATTTCTTATTATCGAATGCAACCTAGAGTTGAGTTGAGCTGAGTACTTTCAAAATTATAATCGAACCACACTTGAGAATACGAACACGCATTCAAGTAACATCTATACATTTTAGGTACTGACATATACACTAGCATTAATTGTTCGGCTTAATATGTGATCCATAACTTTTAAGAGCAGTACCACATCCATGTTTATTTGGATTCCTTAATTAATCCAACACTTCTACTAATTTTAGGTCATAAGGGTATTTTGGTCATTCTGGTTCTTAGTTTCATTCCATTCTTTTCAGAGCTCGAGGATATCCAATCATTCCTGAGCTTGGTGATATTCGTGGGTTATTTTCATTACACGGGTATTCTGGTCATTCTACAGATCCGATTTTTTCAATTATTTTCTTCCATCATGTCTTATTATTTAATTCCAATTTATCATAAATTTCAATCCCTTTGAACAATTCTGATTAAAGAGCACCCTGATAAATTGTTCTTCAAGTATTTGCTCGTAACTCGGATATTTTCGGGTCAAGTGCCTTCTTAGATTTTTACCAACGGAATATCAAGAATTTTCTACACTAAGTCAGGGTCAACTCGGATTATTTTACCTCTCAAGGGCATTTTCTTAATTTCCTAACCAGATAATTTCGATATTAGCTCTTAACGAAAATAATTATAATTTAAAGATCCTATGGTCAATTGTTTTGCCGAACATTCTCTGATCTTGAAATTATTCCTTAACAAACTTCTAGCATCTTGCGTAAACCCTTTTTGGCATTAAAAACCAATTATCCAAATTTTCCAAGCAAAACTAGCATTTCTTATGCACATCTGTAATTATATTGGATCAATATGTCTTTTCAGAGTTATTAGCCAACTTCTAGGGACAATTCTTGTCATCCTACAACGTAAGGCTATTTTCTTAATTTTACCCTACCAGAGTATTCTCATAATTTTCCATCCAAGTACCTTTAACATTTAACCTTTGATGATATAAAATATAAGTTACAAATCCAGGGCTGATTTCTTTATCACCAATCACAAACTTGTAATTTAATTCTAACAATTCATCAATCTCTTATTTTAGTCATTTGATCTGTATTCAGTTACAGAATTTCTACCACATTCATATCGAGTGTATAAATTATTCAAGTCCACAAAAGTGATCAATGGTATCTTATTCATGCATTTACCAATATCAACATGTTCCATAAAGCATAAACAGGTAGTAAAGTATTACCTCGATTTCTGTGTAATACTGATCGATCATTAAATTCCATTCGAACACCCTTGATCTTGAAATTATCTTCCAATATTTCCTCGGATCCATATCAAAAGAAATTAAATAAAAAACGGAGCTTAATTGTGATAAACGGATCGAATCGGGTGATAAATTAGTCAAAAATAGTTTATCGGGTTCGAATTTAGCGAAACGGACTTCGGATTCGGATTCAGGACGTCGAAAACATAAAATGTGACTTTTCGAAAATTTGAAATTTTTGGTCAAAATCGAAGTCAACGGGTTTGACTGGGAATTTCGAGGCCTTCAGGTCTGAATTTCGAAAAACGGAGTGCTGAATCAGATTTGGAACGTCGAAAAATATCAGGATAGGTATACTCGGTCAAAGTCAAAGGTCGTTTAATGCCTAGTCAAAGCTAGTCAAAGTTTTGGTCAACTGTGGTCAACGCAGGAATATTCGATCATTTTACACAAATATCACCCTAACAGAAATTAATTACCAAATTAGCCACATTCTGCAAATATTTACTAAACTAATACCCGAATTTTACACAAATAGCACCAAAACATAAATTAATTACAAAATTATCACTCATACGATGTCCACTCTCGGGGGTGGCTCGTGCGGTGTGTGAACAGTGCTACGGTGTCGGAAAATTCCCGGAAAAATTCCTAAAAATTATTTTAAGCGATTTTGAGGCACTTACAAAGCTCGGTTTACAATTTTGAACGGTGGAGAGCTCGATTCCAAAACGTCGAAAACTTTGACGGTCTCACCCCTCCACGCGCCGGAGACGACGGAGAAACGGAGAACACCGGTGGACTCGAAATGATGCAAGGAACACGATGGTGCGGGAGGTGTCGTAAACGGATGACCGGATCGTCGTGAATCGACGCAAAACCAACTGAAATCGAGTTATTACCGACGATATTTTCGACTGAAATTAACGACGAACGGCGACGATTCACGACGAAAGGTTTGAGAGGTTTTGTTCCTCAGTCGACAAAGAACACGATGGTGGTTTCGATTCGTCAATCGGAGGTCGGACGGCGAATAGATCGGAGTTGAAAGGATGGTTGTTGGAGAGGGAAAACTGGAAATGTTTCTGCAGAAATACACGGGGAAATGGGTTTATAATATCTCCAAAAGAAAAATAGTTAAACTATGAGTTTAGCCACTGAATTTCCTGCACTTCATAAAATGGTCTGTCAACTTTGAATTTTTACAATTTAATTCACCGTTTCTTTTAAAATACCAATTAAATCCACCACTTTATAATGTCTTAATTTTTACCCTTAAATTGGGATGTTACACCAGCAGAAAGACCAGCAAGGCCACAAGCGAGACCAGATGAAAGATGGGCGTAACCATCGAAAAGGTAATACGATTTGGCCTTAGGGTTGATCCCGGTACTAATAATAACAGCAATAATCAAGCCATAAATACCCAAAACACCAGCCATAACAACTGGTACAATAGACTTCATCACTAACTCAGGCCTCATCACACCCATTGAAGCCACACCAACACCACTCTTAGCCGTCCCATATGTAGCTCCCATACCTAAATTCACAATTCTTTTTATTTACTTTTCTTTTCTCCAATTTATTCAATTGCAATATTCTATAGGATAAAGATGTAAAAGACTGCAATTTAAGTAACCTCTATCATTTAGCTCTCCCAGTAACACTAAAACTAACTATAGAGTTATAAATTTTACTCAGCAAAATCAACAAATTATTCATTTCATAATTATTCACATCCAGCATCAAAGGTCCACATCAAACAGAGGTAAATTTAGACATAATTCACAAAAAAAGACTTTTTTCAATTAGCTCCCTAAACAATGCTAAAAAACTAGCAATGATGTTTTACTCGGCTGAATCAAAATACTAAATCATTTCATAATTATTCATATCCGAAATCAAAGATCCACGTCAAATAACAGTAAATTTAGTCATAATTCACAATAAAAATAACTTTTTTTCCAGAATTTGTTTTCAATCGGATCGCTAAACAATGCTTAAAAAAGCTAGTAGCACTGATCCATCAATTCTCTAACAAACAATCAAATAAAACATAAAATTAACCGAGGATATAATTTTAAAAATAATAAACAGAGATATAATATTAATACTAAATAAAAAATTAAAAAACAAAATTTATAATGGGAGGTAAAACGATAGATTACAGGAGAAGACGAGAGCAGCTACGGCGCCGAGGAAGCTAAAGAACAGTGTCGTTTCATCGTCGCTGAAAGTGGAAAACATTGAGGATCACAACAGATCTCGCTGGGACGATGAAGACGATCAAATCTGAGGAAACACGAGTTGAGAACTTGCCTTTGTTTTTTTTAATCTTATCTTTATCTCTGATATATATATATATATATATATATATATATATATATATATATATATATATATATATATATTGTTTTTGGCAGAAGAGAGGAAAATTTACTTTGAGCTCATGGATTTAGAAAAAGCAGAAAGATTATTTTACCAGCAGAAAGCTAAAATTGACTGGTTGTTTGATGGAGACCAATGCACTAAATTTTTTCATTCCCAAGTTACAGTTAAAAGGAAAAGGAATACTATAAGAGTGTTGATTGATGAGAGGGATAATAAACTGGATACTTTTGATTCAATGGCTGATGAATTAGTGAATTTCTTCACTGGGCAGATTGACACTGGGGATGGTAATGTGCAAGGGTGCTTTGACCTATTCCTGAGAGACTTGTTGGGCTATGCCTTGCCAGCAGGAGCCAATGTTAATCTGGTTAAGGCTGTCACAAGTGATGAAGTCAATGTGGCCATTGGAGTCAAGGTAAAGATAAGGCCCCTGGCCCTGATGGATATACAATTGGGTTCTTTCAATCTGCCTGGGACATTGTGGGAGTAGACTTTGTGGCTGCTGTGAGGTTTTTTTTTGAAACCTCTAGAATGTTACCTGCTTTTAATTCTACTGTTGTTGCTTTAGTTCCTAAGCATCCTAACTCTTGTAGAGCCATGGATTTTAGGCCTATATCTTGCCGCTCAGTGTTTTATAAAACAGTTACTAAGATCTTAGTGAGCAGACTAGTTAATTTTTCCCCCAAAATGATAGCTCATAACCAATCAGCCTTTGTGAGGGGAAGGAAAATTGAAGATAACACCCTCTTGGCTCAAGAGATTGTTAGAGGTTATAGTAAGGGTTCCATCTCACCTAGGTGTGCAATTAAAGCTGACTTACAGAAAGCATTTGACTCCTTAAACTAAAAGTTCCTCCTTGTTGTTTTGAAAGGTTTAAGGTTACCTGAACAATTTATAAAGTGGATAGAAGCTTGTGTGATGAACTCCATATTTTCTATTGTTTTAAATGGTAGCCTAGTGGGATTTTTCAGAGGTAGAAGAGGTGTTAGGCAGGGGGATCCCCTATCCCCTTACTTGTTTGTAATGGTTATGAATGTGCTCTCCAAACTCTTGGATATGGCTGTTGCTGCTGAAACAAATTTCCAGTTCCACCCTAAGTGCAAAAGAGTGAATTTAACACACTTATGCTTTGCTGATGATTTGCTCATATTTTGTAAAGGTAATGTTAACTCAATAGTTGGGGTGAATTGTGTTTTGGAAAGATTTTATGAGATGTCAGGGTTGAGACTTAATGCCTCAAAGACAAAAATCTTTATTGCGGGTATAAATGATAATATGAGGTCTCTGGTGCATAAGGTTGCTGGATTTAAACTAGGATGCCTACCTGTTAGGTACCTTGGGGTCCCTCTTGTGCCTAGGAAGCTAACTGAGAAAGACTGTGTTAGTCTGGTGGAGAAAATCAAGACAAAAATAGGACTTTGGTCCAACAGATGGTTGAGCTATGCAGGTAGACTGCAGTTGGTGAAATCTGTTTTACTGAGCATTTCCAATTTTTGGTGTAGGCAGCTTATTCTTTCCAAAGCTGTGGTTAGAAGGGTGAATCAGCTTTGTGCAAGGTTTTTTTTGGAAGGGAGGGGACGTTCTAGCTAAGGGAGCTCGAGTGAGTTGGGAGTTCATATGCTCACCTAAATCTGAGGGGGGCTTAGGCCTAAAGTAATTAACATGATGGAACAAGGCTTACATGTTGCTACTGGTTAAAGAGCTACTTATGGCAGAGGGGTCACTTTGGGTTGCTTGGGTGAGATCGTACATTTTTAAGGGGTTGATTTCTGGTTTGTTGAAAGCAAATCATCCTTCAGTTGGAGCATACAAAAAATCTTGAAGGTTAGAGAGGAAGTGCGACCTCTATTCTTGGGGATTATAGACTGGGAGAAGGTTAATGCTCATTGGTTGTGGTAGGAGATTAGGGGGAGGACAGTGAAGGTGGAATGGCATAAGGTTGTTTGGTTTCCTATGTACATTCCTAAGCACTCTCTCATTGCTTGGATGGCTATTCTTAATAGATTACCAATGGCTGACAGACTTATCCGAATGGGGATTGGGGTGGACGTTAAGTGCAGGCTTTGTGGTATTGAGGCTGAGACTCGCAGCCATATCTTCTTCGAATGCTCATACTCGAAAGTTGTTTGGGGAATCATCATTCGACTGTGTAATGTTGATAGAACAGTGGGAAGTTGGGATGAGGAATTAAGCTGGGCGGTCTCTAGATTCAAGGGCAAAACTTTTATTGTTTTTATTCTTAGAATAGCCTGGTGTGCATATGTATATTGTACATGGGAAGAAAGGAATCATAGGCAGTTTAGAGGTAACAACAGAAATGTTGATAACATAGTGAATTGTATTAAAGAAATTGTTAGGATGAAATCTGTTCGTATAGCCATAAAAAGTAGCGTAGTTAACAGGGACCTTTGTCTAGCTTGGGGAATTAGCTTCTCTTAGGAGGTGGGTGCTGTTTTTTGGCATTGTATTGGTGTAGCAGTGAGTTCTACTGCTTCTTGGATAATAATATGAGGAATTTATCCCAAAAAAAAAAATTAATGAGTAACTTAATAACGTTAGACCGGCCGGTTTACCCTGGGTAGTTTCTACAACCCAATATAAGGCAAAGGAAAAGTGTTATAAAAAATATTTATATTTTTTAACACTTTCAATAGAGCAATATTTAAAATATTATTTTTCTACCAAAAATGTTATCTTCGCTACCTAAAATGAATGTTTACGATATTAACATTTTCGATAAAAAAAATAACATTATAAGTAGTGTCTGATATTAATATTTCCTGTATAAAAAATAACATTTTAGGTAACGCTCTACCGGAAATGTTAAAAAAATATTAACATTTCCGGTAGAACATTTTCTTAGACTTGTATTAGATTGCCTTTCTTTAGACATCCTCGGTTACCCGTCTAATTTACTAAACTAATAATCATATTAGTCGATTACTTCTTATAAGATCATAAAAAATAGGTAAAGTACATAAATGGTCTCCAACTATATGGTGATATTTTATTGAGTCTTCCAACAATTAAAAGTTAGAAAATGATTTCTCGATTCTAGGTTGTTGTTTTGTTGAGTCATTTAACTATTAAAAGTTATAAAATGGTTACTCAACTATTCATATGTTCAAATTTGTCCCTTTTTATTGAAAATGTTACAGTCGGCTGAACTTAACATTAACTTGTTGAATGAGATATGATAAATATGATCCCAAAACTGTTTTGAATTTTATAGTCGTTTGAGATTCCGAGATCATATTTTATCATATCACAATCAACATGTTGGCATTCAACTTAGACGATGTCGATTTTTTTATAGAAAAAGATGTGTTTGAAATATATGAATAGTCAGATGACCATGTTGTAACTTTTAATAATCGAGATACTCAACAAAACAATACTCTATAGTCGGAGCATTATTTTGTAACTTTTAATCGTCAAGAGATTCAGTAATTGGAGTACCATTTGGATACTTTATTCAAAAAAATATAAAGTAATCATTAAATGATAAAATATAACCATTTTTAAAAATAATTAAAAGATTCAAACAACTTAAAAAGTTAAAAGTAAGTGTGAATAAAAATCACTATCATCATTAACAAATAAAGGAGAAAAAGAGACAACTTGTGTATACATGGAAATGAAAAAAAAAAGATAAAATGGTTTTGTGTTAGATTTTGCATTCTTAGTTTTCACATTTTAAAGTGACCTAATTTTGTTTTTATATATTCTTTTAATAATTTGAGTGATTATAAGATAATATATGTGTAATTATTTTAGTTATTGACAATACACGTATTTTAAAAACAACTATTTCTCATAAAAAAAAAGACATGGCTATTTGAATATGTAACCTATAAATTAGTAGACTAAATGGATCTGCCATTAGTTATAATTTTTAGAGATATAAAGTTCTGAAAATTTTATGTTCGAGTATAATCATTTAAATTCATCAGATATTCAGAAATGTTATTAGGTGTTCGAAGATCCTAAAATTTAAAGGAAGTTCGAAGGAGATACAACACTAATAAACATGTACGTATGACTTCTAGGAATTTTGTGGCTTGTTACTCAACACTAAGAATTCATTTCATCACATGGCTTGTTACCATTTAAAGACCAAGATACACACTGCCAAGAAATAATATTTTTACCATTAATTTTCAATATTAAATAATATGTATTTTAGGACGAATTAGACTTTCATCAAAATTAATTCGGTCTCATCATTACGAATGATGATTTTATTAACTGTTTTAAAAAAATTTCTTTGAATAATTTCTTATCTCTTATTTATTTATCGATTTCACGACGTTAATTAAAGATTATTTATAACTTGTAATTCATCTATTGTAGGAATTTAAGTATTTATTGAGAAATATTATATAAAAATCTTATAATATTTAAAAAAAAATAAAGTCATATATAATAGTCTTTTTCCATTATTTAATTCTTCCGTGATCAAAACTAGCATAAAAATGGACGTATCGGTCCGGGTTGAAGGGAAAGAGAGAAACCGAGGAGAAAAGGATAATGGCTGTAACACTTAACAATGGACTCAAGATGCCCATACTCGGTCTGGGTGTTTGGCTATGGAGAAAAAAGCCATTAAAGATCTTATCATCCAATTTATCAAAATCGATTTTCGTCATCTCAATTGAGCTTGTTGTATTCTCTCATCTTAATCTTATTTTTTGAACATCGTTTGTAATTAAATGTCGTGTCAATAGCGTCACGAGATCATCTGTTTTATATGTCATTAGAAAATTAAAGCATTTTTCATATTCTCAAACTCTCATCAAAGTTGAAGTAACGTTTCGTGTTCTACTTTATCAACATTGTTTTGAAAGTGTTTTGATGTTTTG